AGTTACCTTACCTTCAGTGAACCCTTGCAGAGTGTGGTTGAGACGATTCGTCACAGGAGATAAGCCCTAGGTATTATAGTTAGGCTGGTTATTCTAGATATAAAAAAGAACAACGACTAGAACCGTCGGAGGAGACCTTATACTCACTATAACTACATTTCTTATAGTATAAATAAACGTTCTTCATCGTAATAGGTAAACGGGTAAAGGTCTCTAGGAGTACGTTACATTATACGGTTTTAGGGTAAGGAACTCTTAGTTTTGTTTTCTTTACGTGACTCGACATTTTATCAGCATTAGGGCAGTAGGAAGAAGGGAAGGACCTATACTTACGAGAATAGGCTGTTAGTAGTATTTAAATCAAGCCTTAGGCTCTTTCAGGATAAAAGAGCTCGAGAAGGGGCATTATATTATAGACTAGGCTATAGAAGACAGCCCGTAGTATATAAAGGTAGGGCATAGGATATACTACCAGCCAATCACTTATACAGCCAATCAGGAGAGGCTTAACAGGATCTCTTAAGATCTATAAGAGCTAATACCAGGATCGATAAAGAGGGACTAAGAGCTAATAGGCTTAACAGGATTTCTTTAAGATCTATAAGATCCAGGTATAAGATACTTAGGAACGTTCTTTATCTAGATAGATATATAGTCACTTGTTCTGAAGGACTTTGGGAGTTCTCCAATAAGTAATATAACTTATTCGCTATCGGTTACTACGAATATTAAGACTAGATCATTATCTTATTATAAACCTTTTAGCTTTACTGAATTATAACCCTAGTTACCCTACCTTTAGTAAACCCTTATAGAGTATAGTTAATATAATTCGTTATATATAGGCTCAACGACCTTGAATTTACTTAGCTCCCGCTTTATATTTGATACTAGGAGCCTACTTATTATAGCTTTTAGCTCTATACGACGGGGCTCTAGAAGCTGAAGTAGAGCACTATCACATATTAGGCGCTAGTATAAATAGAAGTCTTTAAGAAGAAGAGGCTTACCTTAGTACCTAGTTAGTATATATATATATAGGAGCCTATAGACCTATATAAAGGTGCCTATACAAATAGGCGATAAAGGGGGGTCTTTCTACTATAGCTGCCTTTACTCCTTAACCTTCTGTAGTACTTCATATAAGACCTAGCCCTATATAGCCCTATATAGAGCTTTATCGAACTCAAAGGGGATATAGATCTATTACTTAGCTTGATTAGACTGTAATCCAGAGAGCTGGTTGATCAATATAAGCCGAATTACCTTCTATACTTCAAAGAGGTCGAAGGTCGACCTCCAGAGGTATAACTTAAGGAGCGTATAAATCCCTTCAACGTAGGAGGTAGCTATATTCCCAAAATAAGCCTGTTAATCGACCTATATAGAGATAAGCTTCTCCTTATATAGTAGAAGCTATATCTCCTTAATATAACCAACCTACTAAAGGTTTCTCGAGGTATACTTCTTCTTAAACTACTTCAGACGCTCCTCGTAGATCTCTTTAGTTGCTAAGTCAAGAAGAAAGAACCAAAAAGTATAGAACTCCTTCTACTCCTCAGCTTCTAGAAATGCTGGTTGGCACTGTATAAGGACCACCTTATTTATATACCAGGTACAGAGAGATATTACCGATAAAAAGAGAGTTAAAGCTATATTAATGACTGCCTAGTACCGGTCTGTTAAAATAACTAATAGGAAGACTCCGCTATACTACTTATATAGGGTCTTTAACCGCTCAAAGGCCTATATATAGTCTTCTTTAGTCTCCCTGCTTAAAAATGTAAAGGTAATATAGAAGGAGTACCTAATTATATCAACACCGATTATATTAAGGAGCAGTATACTATATTTATTTATCTTATATATATAGTTAAGAAGGAGGACTTTAAGGTATACTTGAAGGTAGATAAGAGAGTCAGGATATATAAAGAGAACTACCGTTATATATCTATCTGGCCTATATTATATACAGCTCTAGAAACCTTCTTCCTCGAGCTGATTTATAAGTATATAGATTGGACTTTAGCCTTGACAAGAGTCCCGGCGGACTTCGGCAATATAGTTATAGATATTTTAACGTATTACTAAAGAACCGCTTTACCGTATAACTGTTTAGATCTCCTTTAGTATAAGGCCAGCGTCTAAGAGTACCGGTAGCTATAATATACTACCAGAGAGCTGTCAGTAAACAGGATATATAGATAGGTGTAAACTCAGCTTATAGTTATAGGTTACGAAGCGACAATCTGGACGATGCTTTAAAGTCCAGCCTTCGCTAGACTCTTTAGCAAGGACTGAAAAGGGGCAATTCGTCATACAGGTAGTCGTTTTTCTCCGGCGGTCTCACTCTAGGGACGAAGGTGGTCGACGACTTCGATCGCAAGCATATATGACAGTTGAAAGGCCAGTCTTCTCCTTGGTTGACCTATAGGTTGTAAAAGCGTAGCCTCGAGGCTTTACGTACACGTTGATTGATTCGAATAAAGCCTGTCGAGACTCGAAAAAGCCTTCGGGAGGGAGGCAGTTGTCTGGGAAGGTAGCCATGACTCTGGTGTAGGCGATATATTGGCTGTAGTAGTGGCATTCAGGGGTTCAGGGGCACAAGGTCGATGCCGCGTTTGATGCATTTTGTAGATTATATAAACTATTTCAGGTTTACGTAAGCGCACGGACCCGTGCGCCTAGTGGGAGCCCAAAGCATGGACATGATTAGGTCAGCTGAGGCCTGAGAGCAATGTGGCCCCTGCGTCGGAATGCCAAGACTCATACCCCAGTCGTTCAAATGCCAATGCCAAGAAATACCCAAAAGTTGTCAAGCTGTTCTTTCGGCACACGCCAAGTTGCGGCTGCGCAGGGCCACCTAACTAAACAGATTACACTACACAGACAACATATTTCGATCTTTTTTGTCTTTGTGTCTTTGTGCTTCCCAACCTAACGCGGCGCGCGCGACCTCGCCGTTCCTTTCTTCTTCTTCGAATTCAGACCCTCGACTCGCTAGATCCGCGACAACACATTTGCACAGACAGACGAACAAGACGAACCGTCATGTTCGACATCAATTGGCAGGGGCTGCTGCTGCCCCTGGCGTATCTGGTGGTGCTGGTCGGCACATTCGTCACGTTCTCGACAGTGTACCGCAAGAGGAAAGCCAGTATGTTCCCAATCACATGCCATATTTACTCTTACACGTCCATGTATTTCCAGAGGGAATAACTAACTCATGCGTCCCTGCACCTGCAGTCGAGAGCGCCAACCTCGCGCCGTGGTTCGGCCCGCACCTGCAGCGCAACATCTACCTGTCGCTGCTGCACATGCAGCCGGATGAGAACAGCTCGGCGGCCGAGAAGAAGACGCAGCAGAAGATCCCCGACAGCATAATCCGGGCGGCGCTGATCCAGCGCGCCGTCGAAGACATCCGCCGCATCATCCAGATCCGCACCGCCAAGCAGGCCTGCAGCTCACTGCTGCAGCGCGGGAGCGTGGGCGACGACTTGTGGCAGCGCTTCCAACGCGCCGAGAAGGAGATGGAGGAGGAGCTGCGCGATGTTGTCATGGAGGTGTGTTTTCTCTCTCTCTCCAACTATAACTACTAGACACCTGATCCTACAGACGAAGACGAAACAAGCTAACAAGCACATCATCATAGGCCAACGCCCTCGTCCCTGGCTGGGGTCAAATCATCTTCCAATCCGCCAACGAGATCGCCGCCAACCGAGCCATGCGCGAGCGCGTAGAAGAGATCGAAGCCCAGACCGCGCGCGACAAGGAGTGGTGGGAAAAGCGCCGAACCAACGTCAAGAGCGCGTTCATGAAGGAGCTTGACGCTGAGGCCGCCGCGGCGGCAGCTGCAGATACAGCAGCAGCAGCAGGAGCAGCGTCGGCAACACCCTCAATTGGGGGGCCAGGATCAGTAGCGGGCTCGGCCGTTTCGACGGAAGACGATAAGGCGTCGGAGAAGGGCCAGAGTAAGACTTCCGGCTCGTCTGTTGCGGCGGCTACACCGGCAGCGAGCGTGAACGGTAGCGAGGACTCGGAGCCGGTGTTGGTGGAGAAGAATACCTCGTCGGCGTCGTCTTCGCCTGCGTCTAAGAAGAAGGGCAAGAAATAGATTCCTGCGGTGTGAAGGCGGGAGGTGCAAGGGCGCTTGTCCTCGAGGGAGTGAGGGAGTGTAACAATAGTATTTAGGTAAAAGGAGGGAAGGAGAGATCTGGGCGCAGGGGGCCGTTGAGAAAGGAAGAGAGGGAGAGACTGCATCGTGCATGGCGTTGGGCGATACAATTCGGTTTACTTGGATTGGTTTTTTATTCAGAACGTGAGTAGCAGTCAGTCATTTGCTGCTGGGAGTCTGTGATTCGGGCCGGCCCTTGTTGGGCAGCCTGATATTGATTGAGGTTGCGGTCTGTCGATAGAGGACCAAGTTATTATTTAGCTTTAAGTATATGTTCTGGAAGCACCGCAGGTGACATGATCTTGTGGCACGTACATTTGGGTATGTGTGTGGGGGGGGGTGGGTGTGTCTGTGTGAGTAACGACTTGATTAGTTGCCTTAGCAAACAGGTGTGCCATCCAGCAGAGTTGACTGCTGCTAAACCATGCCTTGCTCCTGCTAACCACATTCCCACCATCGTCAAAACACCCACCAACCTCAAAACGCTCCTCTTACCACCAC